AAAACAATTCTTAGTCTTCTTCGCTTTGTAAATTGTGATATCCTCATGTTACTTTTAATATCTGTATTACAAAACTTGATATATTTACTTGAAAGATTAGTAATCAAAGCGGTAATGGTAATAGAAGATACTATTTATATTCCGATATAGAATATTCGTGGAGATGGACACGTACCAAGTTAGCGAGACCTCTTAATCTATTTACGTGAACATCATCACATCATATGGAGACCATGCGCGTGCAGTTCCCGCTGCCATAAAAGTATATATTACATCGTAATAATTACTCCCACGTCCATTCCCTGAGGCAGTACGCCCATGGTTTAGACGCGCTTCGTTATTACCGTCTCGGTTGAAAATTAAACAGTTGATAATCAAAAGTAAGGTAGGAACTGCTTTCAGGTAACTTTTATAAAGTTGATCTAAGCAGCGATTGCACTCTGGTAAGTGTGCTTATCTCTTACAGCTATGGTCTCCGTTTCTAGGTCTGATTATTCTATCTTGCGCCAGATTTCGAGACAGTTTAGATTTCAGATTTCGCTTCCCTTACGGGATCCAAGAGGATTTTATATCATGTCTGTCCGGCGACAGCTTTTCTGGCATTCTCCCTAACAAGCGACAAGTCAAAATTCCACACCAACCGTTCTTGAATTTATCAGTTATGCATGTACAGTTACACAAACACTAGGTATGATATACTCCTTTCCATTTTATTAGTTGCATATATAAATACAGTAGGGCTATCAATTAAGAAAGCTTACCTGTGGTATATCCCTATTTCTGCACTTAAAGAAATTTCCTCTATACAGGTATCCTGCAATCTATACTTAAGGAATCTCTAAGGGGCTTCTGTGTATCAAAACTCCATTTTATTTCTATTTGTTCCATTTATTATATCAGATTTATAAATATCGACCAGACTAGAAGACTGACATGACGAAGACATGGCCTCTCTTTCTGCGGGACTTAATAAAACACGTCTTTAAATCACTAGATCGAGGTGTTAGTCTCATTGTATTTATGTTTGAACTTATCTGTGATACTGATGAATACAACCTTGAAGTAAACGTGGCTCAAAAAACGTATGGAATAAAATCTCATTCACACACTCTTGTGCGCAGTAAGGGAAAGAGCAGGGAGAAAACCAGCCAGCTGAACCAGACAATAAACCT